CTCAGTTTCCACAAATGCCCCGCTAGATGCAAGCACCTCACCACCCCACGTGTGATTCTAATGAGCATTCACTACAGACCGGAAACAACTGAGCACCCCATGGGGTTCACTGTTGGAAACAGCAAGCTGATCCAGCTTTGAAGGAAGACACACATTGTTCAGGTAGAGAGACACAGAGACATTATTAATACATTATGAATATATTTCATGGGTACTTAAGATTTTCAAGAGCAATTTTGATTATACACATTTTCCACCTTCCACAAGAGTGTTATAATCGCACCCCTTGCATTAACTGTAGCTCCTCCAGGTGCCCCCTCAATCCTAGGCCAAAACATGCCTGATAAGCGTCCACAGAGCTGCCCAGTGTCCTGGTTCCTGTGCCAATAAGGTGTTACACCAGGGGCGCTGTAACCAAATGGTTTCAACCCATTAGTGATGAAAAACACATCGATGACACTCTAGCTCCATGTGTGAACAACAATTCAACAGCTGAAAAATGGCCAGCACCAGGTATTGCTGTGCTGTACTTACAACTAAAACCATGAAATGACTGAGATTAAACTCACACTCCTGAAACATCAGAAGTGACATTTTAATAACTGACTTCTCTTAGCCATCAAGTTTTGAGATTTTTGGCAATTCATTCCAAGGAAAACTGCCCTCAAAGAATGAAGGATCACTTAACTGTACTTAGAATTCAGAGTGAATGCAACTATATTGTCTGTTAACAATCACTAAGTGCTCCAAAGAAAGAGTTGAGAAAAGGAAGTACAAACTCTCTCTTATTCGCTAAGTATTTCATATTCAGCTATTCATCCTGACTGACTTGGACTAACTCAATGTTCTTAGAATGAAGAACAATCTATAGTTAGATGTGTGGTTTTCCCTGCCATCTTAAAATGAAATGGCAGTTATTAGAATTTTCAAAAGAAAAGATCAGGTAATTGTTCATAGATTTAAGTTAAATTTGTCAAAATGGTAGAGAGCTCAGAGGAATGTTACTGTACTGAGTACTGCTTTTGGAATGACTCATTAATAATTCAGACTGTCAATGATGCTCTCAAATTACTCAAACACCACTAGAAAACATTTCATTATAAGACTTAAATAAACTCTTCCCATCTCGTGCTCATTACTTCTATGTTTTCCCATACGAAATCAGGCCCAATTTAAAAAGCTCCTTCCTCCTGAAACATTTCCCTGGTTTGCTTTCTAGTGGGAGGCGACATCTCCTTTTTTCAAACTCTCACAGCATAAGATACATACTCCATTTTCTGTTAGACTCTCAGTACCTGAAAGGCAGGCTCCATGTCCCACTGAGCCCTGCACCTGTGCTCCCTACCGTCCCACAAGCGGAGCTCCTAGCATAATACCTTAAAGAGTACAAGCTCAGCAAGCGTTTGTGAAAGAATGAATGAATGAATGAGTAAATCAACACAGGCTTGAATGGTTCTGTTCTTTTTCCTGGTCTTTCTGCATATCCCAAAGCCCAGTCATTGGCTAAAAACTTTATGTTCGCCTTTCCAACACATTAAGTTGATATTCAAGTTTCAAGCAGCCATCCCATGGTGAGTCTTGCTAATGAACTTCATTTGTACAGATAGTAATCTAGAAAGTGTATCTACAGCTCTTTCGATGTGCTTTACTTGAAAAATATTAACCAGGCATTTACTTCCTTTTTAAAAGCTAAGTCATTTCTCTTAACAGCATCTATGGCAGTCAGAAGTTTGGCAGACTTTATGAAAAACACCACTTTAACTGTCATATTAAAAATTAATTACATAAGGTTTTCTTTGTTTTATTTTTACTACTTAAACTCCCTAATGATAAAGAAAAAGTTGCAGGGTTTTTTTGTTTGATTATTTTTAAGAGCGTGGGTTTTTTTTCCTCATGATACAAAAAGATATGGTTATTGAATTTGCTAGGAGAGAAAATACCTGTACTGTAAAATTATATTTTATAATGACCTTGCTTCCAACTACCACCACTCCCCCACCCAATTCTACTGAGGATGGAAGTGGGGGGAGAGCCTCTTGGTCATTTTTGCCTTATTTTACATGGTAAATTACCAAGCTTTTGCAGCTTTCTTTACCAAAAAAAAATGGCAGTTCGAAAGACCCAACACAAAGTTAAGTGAGGAATTTCTTTCCTGTGTCTGCTTATCAAAGAGTCAGAATATTCATTAAAGACACCAGGTGGGGAGCTCATGCACTTCGAACCAAGGTGAACTCAATCCCAAGGGGACTACCACCTTTCCTTTCTTGAAAACCCTCCTGCACGCCACTGTCTCGTGCTTCTCAATAGCTTTACTCATTTTTTCTCTTCTGGAAAGTAGGTTCATTCACTCATGCCCTGTCCAAACTAAAAGTAAAGAAACCCTATTTAACCTCCCAGTTCCACTGCTGGCTTGGAATGGTCTAGTCCCCAGAGTGGAGGTTCTTATTCCTGAAGAGGAGCTTCCTCACCCATCTCATCCCACCAGGTAACTTACAGAGTTGGTAGAGGCCTTGCAAATCATGTAGTCCCAACCCCGCACTGTACCAGCCAGAAAATGGAGGCCCAGAAAAATCCACTGATGTTCCCCTTACCCCCAACTGCACTTCCTAGTGGCCAAGTGAACCTAGAACACAGGCCTTCCAACCAGGAGTCCTGTGTTCTTTCTCAGCATTCCTGGTACTTAGAGCTTTCCCTGGGAGTAAAGTGGCAATCTCTATCACGCTGAGTGCCAGGCATGGAGCCAGACAAGAATTAGGTCTTCTACACCCTTGTTACTCAAAGCATGGTGCATGGAACAGTAGTGTCTGCCTCGGGCAGGGGCATGTTAAAAATGCAGAGTCCCAGGCCTTCCCCCACACCTGCTGTATCAGACTCTGCTCTTCAACAACATCCCTGCAGGATTCATAGACACATTAAAGTTTGAGAAGTATTCCATAGCAGGGGAGAAAAAAGACTTATCTTCACTTCTTGAGTCAAGCTCGTGTCAAGCCCTGTGCTCAGATACTCCGTGATGTGGCCCAAGTGGCCTGGTCTTCTCTAAACACTAAGACCAAAAGAACAATCTGCAGAACAGAAGCACGGGAGCCCGGTGGATGCCTTAGTCATTTAGACAGCACACGGTAAGTCAGTTTTTATTTTGTTTTCTTTTTGGAATTCTGACTTATTTGAAGGCTGTTGAGAGGTAAAATGTGGAAAGGTTGAGCAGTGAAAGTACCACCTCAACTAAGATCAAAGATACACTTCTCCACTTTTTGTCATAAAGGGGTTCTCCAAAGAACTGTGGCTACAGAACACAGCCAGTGCTTCATGCCAGAGTTAAAAATATGAGTAATAGAGTCAGCCTTCCTGAGAGCAAGTCAAAGCTCTGCTTGCTGCCATCTATGTGACCTTGACAACTCAACGTCTGTGCCTCAGTTTCCTCACCTTTAAAATGGAAATAAAAATAACACGTATTTCACAGGCTGATGATAAGGATAAAATGATGCTTATCATTGGCACAGTGTACAAAGCCTGGCATGCAGTGGGTGCTCAGTAAATGTGAGCTACCATCATTACATATATCCTCTGTGTCAAGCGTAACTTAAAACCACCACGTCCCCCAGAATAGTTTTCTCCTGGGATTGACCAGATTCTGACCCACAGCCAATCAACATAGAGAAACAATGAGTATAAAAGGCAGACATTGAGAGTTTCACCCTACCAAAACCACGTTAATTCTGGACTTGAGTAAAGACATGCATCACCTTTCACTTCAAATTCTAATGCATGTTGATGCAGACTAAGAGCCCCAGCGCTTGACCAACCATGAAGAAATAAAGGAAAGAAAAGTCAGTCTTAGTCACGCAACCTCATGCCTCACAGCTGTCCCTTGTGAACACACCAGCCTAATACTTCGTCTTCCTGCAAAGTGACTTCTAAAAAGAGAAAGAGGAGCAGTCGCCCTGCACTCTTTTCCTCCCTTTCAAATGTGGCACATGTTGTTATTCCTTCTATGATAGTTGGCCAAAGGACAAATCGGATTTCTTTTCCCAGACTTCATTTTAATGTTTATTTTTGTGAAAGCAGCAAAAACATATTGCACTCTCCATCCCATTCTCATCGTTTAAAAAAAATTTTTTTAATTATATTGTTCAGGCTTGGCGTGGTGACTCATACCTATAATTCCAGCATTTTGGGACGTCAGGAGTTCGAGACCAGCCTGAGCAAGAGTAAGACCCCATCTCTACAAAAAAATAGAAAGATCAGCCAGGTGTGGTGGTGTGCACATGTAGTCCCAGCTACTGGGGAGCTGGGGAGGCTGAGGCAGGAGGATCACTCGAGCCCAGGAGCTGGTTAGGTTGCAGTGAGCTATGATGATGCCACTGCACTCTAGCCTGGGCAACAGAGTGAAACCCTATCTTAATAATAATAATAATATTGCTTCTTTTGAAAGACCAACCCCACCTCTCTTTTCCTAATTAGGCCCAATCGAAATATAGTAGTAAGCATTCAACTGGGTAAGCCTCAAAAATCTTTATCAAGACCAAACCAATTATAGCATTTGATTCAGAAGGGGTTTTCTGATTGACAGAACTTACGGTGGATTCAAAATTTTAAAGTATTTCTAGAGTTCGGGAAAAGACATTAAGTTTGTATACAACCTTTAAGAAAATTACTGTGCTTTCTGGCCATGCTTTTCAGGTTGAAAGTATACTTTTACTAGCTGCATCATTCTGGGTGTACATTTCTTTCGAGGAGATGTTTTTCCAGCTGAGTTTAATCCAATAAACTAAAGAAGAGAAAGGATGTAACATAGAACTTTCTACTTACAGTTGGACATGACATTTGCTTTTCATCGAAAGACATTAGGAAGCTTCTCTCTGGTTGTCTAACTTTTTGCTGTAGCTGTCAGAGGGCAGAGGCCCTGGGAACCGCATGCAAATTTCAACCCCCACCCCATCCTCCATCTGACACCCCTTAGCCACTGCAGGATGCTAACCATTCATCCACGGAGGCCTTACCTGTCGGTTTTCTTGATCAGGATGGCCCTAAAGATGTGCTCGAGGGGTGTCTTCTCCTGCTGGTAAGTGGGCTGCACGAAGGGGTGCAAGGCCGCCAGAGAAAAGCCCTGCTGGTACAGCTCCAGGAGCTGGGTGGGCAGGTCACGCAGGGAGGCCAGCCTCACCGCTGAGGACCGCGGGAGCTCCGCTGCAGTGGAGAGAGGAGAGGCTCATCAGAGACCCACCAAACCACCCTCGAACCCCACCCAGGTCCCTATCCTTTGCCCTAGGGGAGAAGCCTCTAGGTCATCTCTTGCTAAATACGTATTTGTTCCCAACTTTACTGTCTCCAAAGAAACTTTATAAGCAGACTGTCATTTTCCAACTCATCCAAGGGTGTTAATAATTGGATGTCTTAAATCTAGAGTCAGTCTTCTCAGTGACCACAATCAAAAAGTCATTTCCAACCCCTCAAAAAAAAAAGAAAGAAAGAAAAAAATAGGAAGGGGAGGGGAAGAGAGGAGAGAGGAGGGAAAGAAGAAAAGGACCATATGCAAATATGATATAAAAATGCCAGGTGGCAAAAAGCAGCATAAACAAAGTAAAAAGACAAACTGGAACAAAATTTCTGTGACATTTAAGACAAAGAGCTAATTTCCTCAATTTGCAAAGAAGCTACTCCCTCCCTCCTCAAAAACAGAAAAGACAAAATATATGAACAGAAAATTGCCTTAAAAATAGAAAAGGCTAATCAATATTTGAAAAGACACTCACATTAACTTAACAGAACTACACAAATCAAGAAAGGTAATTTGTTACCTATTGAATTATTTGAAAATTTGGATTTTAAATTTACTTATTTTTAAGAAGGGCAAAAAAGGTTAAAAAGAAAAAAAGGTACAAATGTATATTCAGTGAAAAATCTACATCCCAGCCCTAGCCCCTGCCTCCTAGGTTTTTTCCCCTAGAGGCAATCAACATTATTTATTTTTTTGTATATGCGTTAACAATCACTGAATTCATACTCAAGTAAATAGGCCTATACATCTCCCTCCCCTTTTACACAAATGGCAGTGTAAGATTATACACCTGGATTTTTATCAATTTTTATCAATTAACAGTATACTCTTCTTAGAGACCATTCCATAGCAGTACACAGAGCTCTTCCTTATTCTTTTTTAGAGATCCATTTTGTGATGCACCATAGATATGAAAATTTTTGCTTTTATAAGTAATGCTTTAATGAAAAATATTATTCCTACATGTATTTCACATGTGCACATATAGTACACATAAAAAATAAATTCTTAGATGTGGAATTGCTGGGTTAAAAATATATGCATTGTAATTTTTCAAATAAACAGAACCAATTTACCTGCCATTAGTGATACATAAAGGTGTTTCTTTTCCCAGGCCCTGGCTATTTTCATGGTTAAAAAAATGATACATGTGAGGTAGTAATTTCTATTTCTCTTATTATGTAATTTGTATTTTTTCTTATTAAACATTTCATATTTAACACTGTGTTTCCTTTTCTGTGAACTGTGCGTGATCTTTGTGTAGTTTTCTATTGGGTTACTAGTCCTTTTTTCTATTGGTTTGTAAAAACTCTTTATATATTAGGAAATTTCGTTCTTATTTGTGATACCAGTTGCAAATATCTTCCCTCAATTTGTTTGCCTTTTGACTTTGCGTAACGTAGGTTTTGCCATGAAGAATTTTTAATATAAAGTTGAATTTATCAATCTTGCTTTCAATGGCTTCTAAGTTATATGTCATGGCAGGAAGACCTGGGATTATAAAAACAATTCTCCTGTGACTTCTTGTAATACTTATTTGATTTTTACCATGTAAATCTTTCATCTATTCGGAATTTATCCCATGTAAAGTATGCAAGATGAATTCAACATTTCCCCTGTCTAGAAGTTTATCCATTTTTCCTCATTTATTTGAGATGTCACCTTTATCATATATTCCACTCCTGAATATATTTAAGTTTATGGCTATGATCCATTAATCTTACACACTACTTGAACAATTTTAGTCATATTATGCTTTAATATTGGGTTAGGCTATTTCCCGAATCTTCCTATATTCCTGTCTATTTTCTGAATCTTCCTGCCTGATTTGTTTTTCTAAATGATCCTCAAAAATCAGTTCATTGAATTTCTCCTTCTCCCAAAAATTGTATTGATATTTTTATTGGCTCATGTTCAAATTATGGCTTAACTGAGGGAGAATATTTTCACCATGCCACAAGTTCACCTCCAAGAAGAACATGGCATAACTTTGATTTATTCAAGTCTTCTTTTGGGTCCCTTGGGAGCATATTACAGTTTTCTTCACACAGATATTACAACTTTATTAAGTTTAGTCCTACTTATTTTATATTTTATCACTATGAGAATAATAGATTTTCTTTTTTTACTTCTATAATATCCATTTGTGGGCAAGGGTGTTGGGGAAACAGGCACTCCCATCCCAGTTGTTAGGAGAGAACCTTTCTGGAGGGCAGGGGTGTTTGCCTTCAATTGTAAAAACACACACACCCGTTGTCTAGCAACCTTGCTACTGGTATTATTCTGGTGGCTGGACTCATACTGTCTTTAAAGATATATGGACAAAGATATTTACTAAAAGGTTGTTCTTGGAACCAAAGAGTTCTTCATTGGAGGACTAAACACTGGGACACCCCAATGAGGAATCTTATGAACCATTAAGAAGATTAAAGTAAATCTGTTAAGTGCTGATAAAGAAATCTGTCCGAGATACATTGCTAAGTTAAAAAAAAAAAGTACCTAACAGTGTTAATGGTATGGTCACTCTTGCATTTAAAAAAAGTTAGAAGGATGGACAGACATAGACATAAATAAAAATATTTTTTCTGGAAGAAATCACAAAAACATCAAAACTGAAGAGAGGGGCTAGAGGAGGGAGGAAAGGGTGGAAAGGTCATCCTTATTTTATACTTTCAATACTATTGCCTTCAATAGGGATTGTTTGGATGGAGGATTTATGAGACATTTTTATTTTCTTCTGTATATATATTTAAAAGTTCTTAATGTATTTTTTTCTTAATGTATTTTTTGAAAAAATAATGTGTTATTTTTAAAAACAAATTTACAAACAAAATCTAGGGGTACTTAACAATAAATACCACATAACATCAGAACTATAGCTCTCATTTCCATACATCACGCAAGAAATTTACAGGAAAAAAAAAAATCTATAGCAATGATTCACTCTAAAGCAAGCATTCAGCATCCTGGAGAAAGCGCCATTAATAACGGTGACAAATAAAAGACTGGCCAGGAGAGCAGAAAATATGTACTCTTTCCCTTGAAGGGTTCATTCTGCATATGCTGCTAGATAAACAAATCCAAAGTCAAGTCTAGTAAAGAGTGCTGAGCCCCTCCGAGTTCCCCCTGCACGGAAACCTGTCCAGGGGTCTCACAGCAGCTCCTCAGACCCAGGCAAAAAGGACCCTGACCCTGCACCCTGAGCTTCAGAGCAAGGGTTCTGGCCAGCACCATGGTCCAGCAGCAGCAGCAGCACCTGGGAACTTGTTAGAAATGGAGACTCTCGGGCCCCACCCCAGACTTATGAAGTCAGAATCTGAGCCATCTGTGCCTGCACAACCCCTCCCAGAGATTCACCAGCTCTGCAGAGCTCTGCTTCGGCCTCCATCAACCACTCTCCTCTCCACAGGCAAGGGAAGTGATCCAAGCACACGTGCCCACGTGGGACCCGCACCCAACCTCACACAGCCCAGGCCCTCGAACTCCCTGCCCTGCCAGCCCTGGGCCCACTCTCGAAGCTGCTCAGGCTTCTCCCTGGTCTGCAGCGAGGGTAGACGGTGCCTCCATGCGCACACCCCGGGCCCAAGGCAGCGGTGAGACTAGGGTGTGGGGAGTAAGTAGACATTCACCACAGGTGCACAATTTAAGGGAGCACCAAAACCTCAGTGACCAAGATAAATATTTAATGCAATATGTTAAAAAATAAAAATTAATGCAAAAAACTCATGATGAACATAGGATCAAATTTTTTCAATAAAACAAGATCAGTATTATTGATTTTTCCTTTCGCTTCAAGCTCTAATATGGCTCATTCAGCACTGTTACTGAGCATGTCTTTATTTAAAATATTGCTCATTCCCCTGACCCTAATTTCGGCCCAAGGTCTCCCTTGGTACTCTAGTTCCAGGCCCTGCAGATGCTGGCTGTGGGCTTTATGGAAACCAGAAGCAGGCGTAGGCTTCCTCTGCTGTCAAGAGACTACGGAACTACTGAACCAAAAGGGTGAAACCACATGTGGCAGAGACGATGCATGTTTTATTTGAAAAACTGAATGGACTTTTGGTAGGAGGGCAATTGAGCATTATTGATCAAACCTAAAAATACTATGCAGCACCAAGATCCCTTCTACTTTGATCAAACTGTATACACAGATCATCTGCGAGTCATCAAATATGAGACCTCAAACTCAGCCAGCCTCTACAGTCCAATATTGTTTAAGTTTTGCAAACTGTTCTTGCTATAATAAAATAAGCCTTTACTAAGATTTTCATAATTTATATAAGATATGTTTCCTCTTATGCATCATACTATAATAAAAAATAAAAGCAGTCAATGTGTTTAGAAGACAGGATTCTAGTATCACTAGCTGTTAGCCTCAGGCATGTGAGCACTGAGTTTCCTGGTATAAAGTAGAGATAACACAGCAGCCTGTCTTCCGTCATAGAGTGCTCGTGACGATGAAATGCGCAACGTGTGTGTAATCCACAGGGCCCAAAACAAGTACCGTCAGCGGCTCTGGCAGTGGTGGACAGGTGCCTGGCCAGGGGGACTGGTCATCTGGGGATGGTAACGACAAATGGTGCTAGGGCCACTAGACTGTTCTCCATCACCACCCACACCCCTTAACCTCCACACTCCAAATCAGTACACGAGAAATACAAATCAACTGCTTCATAGTTGAATGCTTCCTGAATAAAACATACTATCTTTTAAATTTTTATCTTAAAATCTAAAGATGTATCTCCTGTCAAAACTAAGCAATTTTATGGCTTTAATTTTTGGTATGCATGCTGTCAAAATAAGTTTAGCTTCATGGTTAAAAAACAAATAAAAATGAATCTCAACAATCTCAAAGCAATAAAAAAAACCAGGCTCCTATTGTAAATATGATTAAAGGTCTTAATTTCATGATTCTATTTGAACCTTAACCTTAGAAATACAAAAACAAAAAAATCTAGTTCTTATGAAGTGACCAATCCCCTAATGTTATTACTAGAAAAATAAACAAAGGGATGATTTATCTGTTTGGGTGGACATACCAATTGTAGCCTGTTGGTCTGTTTCTCACCCTACCCACCAGTGTAACCTCTCTACTATTTTGTTTTGTAATAGTTGCCTGATTTTGTTTACAAATTACACAACCTTGGGCGAGCCATATAAGTTCCTCCCCATCTCTTGGGTCCCTCATTTATAAAATGAAGACTCTGGACAGGCAATTGCAAAAGGAGCTTCAAACTTTAGAAGGCAGTAATTTTATTATTTCGATTTGGAGACTAAGGTACCAGTTTCTAACTAAAAAGTGACATCAGATAATACAATAAGTGTTTTCAATGTGAGCTGAAAGTTACCCAAGACCAGAGCCCACATGACAATAAGGACTAACCACACATGCGGATGGGTGGAGGAGGAAAGAGAAGCAAGAAGACACCTGCTGCCCCAGGTCCTAGCGTTCCGCCAGCCCAGGCACTAGGTGGGGGGATTGCACTGTTCTAACTACCCCCGGAAACATGGAGAGCCTTCCAGGAGAGTTCTAGGGAAGAGCTGCCTGCACGATGGTGGGAGAAAAGGGATGCTTTAAGGAGCATTGCTGGGGACAATAGGTCCCCTTCATCCTAGAGGACAGCTACAAGGACATGGTGTGAGTTATGCTGAAGTTACTCTGGCTTCCTGGCCTTTGACCCGGACTCCACTTTAGGGCTGAACCACATAAGCCACCTCATCACAAGTTAAAATTTCTCATTACAACTTCATATTCTGAAGATGGGAGATGTTGATACGGCTGTCTTAGCCATTGTTGCCCTCCAGAGAGAGGAATACCCAGCCTGCTCAGAGTTAGGGCCGATCACAGTTTTCTCTCCGCTTTCTAATCTGTCACGTTCCCCTAGTCTTTATCTACTGTGGTCAGACTGCAAACCTCATTTGGCCTGGACACTCACCGTGCTCCCACAATGCTGCATCTTCACCCCACAATGGGGCTTTGTCACAGGACAAAGTGCACGAGACAGTTCTCTGGGGCTCCTCCCCACCTGGCAGGGGCTGCGTCTCATCTCCTGACGTGTCAGAAGGCCTGGTGCTGATCCCAG